ACCAAAAAACTGAAATGAATAACTTCCCAACCTTACTCCCTACCCCAACGTCTATTACGGTCTCTCTGAATGGCAAAAATAAGAATAATTGTTTCTTTTTATGCCGACCTCCCCTTTACAAACTTTAACACATACAAATTCCATTTGTAATTAAAAAGAAAAAACCTCACATTAAAAAAAATTGAAAATCCTTGAAGATAAGCTGCAGATTTTTCTAGAATTCAAGCCCTGTAAATACTCCTCTACTGAATTTCTTGTCGTTTTCCTTATAATTAATGAACAAATGCATATAAAATACTTGAAATTAGTGGCATGGCTCAGTGAGTAGGGCAATGGCCCCATATACCGAGGGTGCCAGGTTCAAACCTGGCCCCTGCCAAACTGCAACAAAAAAATAGCTGGGCGTTGTGGCAGGTGCCTGTAGTCCCAGCTACTCAGAAGGCTGAGGTAAGAGAATCGCCTAAGCCCAAGACCTGGAGGTTGCCATGAACTGTGATACCACGGCACTCTACCGAGGGTGACAAAGTTTAAGACTCTATTCTCTAAAAAAATAATAAAATAAAACAAAATATTTGAAATCATGTTTAATGATGTTAGCAACTACTGTGATCATTATGTATAAATGTTACATAATCCATCATTTGGGGAGGCAATACAGCATAATGATTAAAAGTATGAGTCAGGTGTGAGAACTGCCAGGTGAGAAGTGTGGACGCTTCCTCACTGTGGAACCTACAAGTTACTGAGCCTCTATGAACCTCACTTTTATCAGCTATAAAATAGAAATGATAATAACAGCTACCACTTCCTAAGGTTGTTATGAGAATTAAAAAGCTCTTAAAATTAATGACCAGCTCATATGAAACACCCAAAATGTAGTGCTGGCTGTGATGGTGATGAAGAAGTAGGATGATAGGTTCCATCCACAGCGTTGATTATACAGCACACCTTGACGTCATCAGAACATCCAACAGTTGACAGCCACATTACATCAAGAAAAATGGTCCTAAATGATCTAACAGTTGGATTTCTATAAAAAAAATAGTGTCATGACAGAAATATAGACTTGGTGATTCAAGAGTGATTAAAATCAATCTATTTCCAAGTCTTCAGAATGCTTGCCTATTAATTAGCTCTGAAGTATGGCACCAAATTTTATCTTTTTACATTAATTATGTATATTGATGCAAACCATAAGTGAATACTGTGCGTGAAGCTAGAGTTTATGTTTAATGTTTTTAAGATGAAAAATAGTTCTTTCAATTATTCCAGTATCTGGTCCCCTAATATGCAGTCCGTGGTTATGTTTTTGAAGATATAAAGCAGAAGATTCCCCCACGGAGTGTTCCCTCCAGTCCTTCTCCCCCTCCCTTCCTGTTACGGGTAATTAAGCAGTTTGTTTAATTACCCTTCCTGCACAAGGGGACTAAACCCTGAAAAGGGCTTAATCAAAACGCCCCCACACTGAAGCGTCCTCGGCACATGTGAGCAGCAGAGCAGGGTACCGCGCAGCCTGCTATGGAGCCCACCTGTCATCTCTAGTCAAGGGCTGGACGTCCCGACGAGCTGGGAGAGGAGATGTGAGCCCAGCAGCTGCCTGGTGTGGGTAACACAACCAAGTATTTCAATTAGATACATTTTCCCTTTATTTAGCAGTTAGCATTTCTTGTCTAATTGCCTTTTGTCACCTTTAGAAATATAGCCCAATTGTCACAATATGCCATGTTATTGATTTTGTTTTATTTGACACAAAGTACTGCTCTGCATCAACTGAATGTTGGCTTCCAGCTTTTTCTTAGCTCATTTTTTGATCTATTTTTTGGCTGAGGGCAAGCTCCTTTCTTAGTTATCTGTCAGCTGCCCTGGCACATCCACAGGAGCCTCTGGAAGAATGAAAAAGGATAAAATACCACGCAGACCATGTCCACTTGCAATTGATTTTCTCTTCCAAATGTGTGTGATGAGCCCAACGTCGTGAAAATCAGATCTACTTTAAACAAAGAACAAGGTCCCACCATCTTAAATGTATCCCGAGCAAATTCTTTAGTAATCAGAATCACTGTCCTATAAGAATTAAATTATATATATTTGGATAATCGTATTTAAAGATGTGCATGTCTTTCAAAAACACACTATATCTACACAATGAAAAACAATAACAACCCCACCCAGAGGTGTGTTTCTAAATTTCCCAGATGTTTAGCTTGCTGCAATCAAACCCAGGGCCTTCCTTGTATGCTCTGCCAAGGCTCAGTGTCCTGATGGGCAATTAGCATGGCCGGCAGTTAGGCCTACCTGTAGCTTCCAAGGGTAAAACGAATGTCTCAGAGATCAGGTCCAAGAGTATAAGGAAAATCTGACAAATCTCGAGAAAGATTCCAAGTTCTTCAACACCAAAGTTAACAGCCTGCGAAGGATCTACCCTGAGGCTGCCTTTCTTACCTGGTTACAAAACAGAGGCTGACACTGAGCTGTGAAGCACTGGGCAACCCCATTTCTGCACACGCACTTGGCACACTGGCTCAGCCGCCAGTCCTCTCCGTCCTGAAACACCCGGCCTTCATAGGAACAGGGTTCTGGAAGGTCAAAGTCATATACATTATGGTGGAGGGGTGGGAGGGATAGCATTTGGTGATCCCAGGGCTGACTGCATGGGGGCATGCTGGGTCAGGGGCCCAGGGCACAGGAGGAGGCCCATGCTTAGGGCTTAATGCTCTGTAGCCCCTATCTTGAGATCTCTGGACTTGTACTTTCTAAGTGAAGTCTAGTGGGGCTTGGAGCCTCAGCTCAGGCTTGGTCCTATCCCCACTGGCATCCTGGGATGGGTGCCCAGCTGCCTGCTGCCACCCTCCACCCACAGGGGAGACTTGGGTGCAGATGCCAGGAGGGTGCACATGGCCCTATGCACCGAGTCACAGGGGGCCTTGAGGGGCCTGTGAGGGTCACTATTTACCCCTCGTCCCCAGGCCCAAAGGAAAAGAACAATAAAGAGCAAATAAAACATAAAAGGGTAGGTGAGAAACTAGAGAGGCAGAGAAAAAGGTTTCCGCCCTCCCCTGCTTTTTGAATGAAGGACCCTACATTTTCACAAATAATATAGTTGGGCCCTGCAGATACTCCAATATTTCTGGGCAAAATCCTTCCAATATATCTTTTTCATAAAGGGCCAACGAGATGGCTTCTTAAAACCTAAGGAAGAACCCTACGAGCGCCCCATATGTCTCCAGCGCTGCTGTTCCAGGTGTTTTCACCTGTAGCATTTGGGGTTCAGCTCAGAAAACCTGCTGGTCCTTTTCTGGTGGGTGACATCTGAAGTGCACGAGGTAAAAACCTACCTTTATCATCTCCTGAGCAGACTTTTTAATCCCTGGAATGGTTCTCCAGGGCAAAAGATTGTCAGGAATAGAGTAATTTGGGATCAGAAAGAAATGGGCATTCTTTTTAAAGAGAAAAAATAACAACAGAGAGTAGCTTCCAGATGCTATCAAATAAAAGACATATTCTGGATATCAGACGTCAGGAGAGAGTGCAGTGCAGCAATGACAAGAATCCCTGTTTACCGTGAAGTATGTTCTATTCAGTTACAAAAATGGAATAGTGCATACGCCGTCAAAGTGTGATAAAAGGGCACATGGAACTGGTGAACAAGCATGGATCCCTAGAAAAGGGCCTGTAAGTTTCTGCTGGTTTGCTGGACAAACACTGGTCACCTCCATTTGCAGGCAGACTCTCCAGTGAGGACACTACGAAGACCTCCGTCCTGCTGAGTGTCTTGGAGACAGATATCATGTCGGTTCAAAGACCAGCCAACACGATAACTGCCCGCAATACCACACAGAGAACTCACTTGCTCCTTTATCCCCGTAGAGGGCAGGAGAAACCACCTTGGCTTTTGCAATCACATCCATATCAGAGGATCTTTTCCCTACTTCCTTCCCACCCAGGAGCTGCAGATGGAGAGGGATGTATCTGGCTGAAGCAAAAATAATGAAACAGAGCCTTGCAGAATCTCGGACTGGAATGGAGCTTACAGATCCAGTCTCACTCTCTGAAACACTGGCCCCTGCCAAGTGCAAAGCTACGCCTTGGTTCTAATAGGGAGAGGGTTATTGATCTTTCAGCCACACTGAACAAGAAAGAAAAGAATAGGGTGTCCCCAGGTGACTCTCAAAGGCAAAGAGGGTGCCCTTCTATAAGCTCATACTCACTCCCAGGGCCCACACAGACTGGGCAGCAGCTTCCTTCGGGGATGAATTCCAGCTCCTGGTGTCCACACGACAGCAGCGGGCACGGCTGCGGGCTGCATCGGACTTGCCCGTGAGCACAAGAACACACACTACAGGGCGGAGAGGTCCACTCCGTTCCATGCTGTGTGTCAGGGATAAAAAAGAGAAAGTTTAGTGCCAGAATACAGGCTTTCATTCAGCCAAGCAGAAAACAACCTGTTCTTACACAAACTAAGGCCGGGCTCAGGAAAGGTGAGACAAGGCTCCGAGCTTACAAGGTTGAGACCAGGATTCGCAACGTTCCAAGTCAGAGAACAATTTATATATTGATCTTTTCTTCTATTATCTCTAAGATTACTTAGAAATTTCAGAAAAATACAAAAGAAAATAAAAATAAGCCCAACCCCATCATTTAAAAATTGCTATAAAGCCCAGAGTAAAACACACATACATTTACTGCAGTCTTCATAACGGCTACAAGCACTCTGAGGAGCTCGCACGCCGAGCTCGTTGGCTTTCTGACTTTACCTCTCACCCAGGTTGGTTCCCATGTTGCTCATTCCTTCCCTCTCCCTCTCTCTCAAGTGTCCCCGTGATCTCACGGTCCTGGGGAGTGCACGTGATGGCCAACAGGAGGCACCTGTTCTGTCCTGTTCTCCCAAGTCAGTCCCAGTGAGGAGTGAGGGTTCCCATGTGAATATTCCACATCCACCTTATGCTGGGAGACCAGGTGCTCGAAGCCAGCACATGTCCGTGATCTAAAGACCCGTGGTTTGAGTTACCATATAATTTGCCAAGTCTGGAAAGTATCTCACTGAGTCAGTCTCAGTGAGTAAGAAGGGAGAGGATGAACCTGGAACATGAACAGCTGCAAATACACTGACGGCTTAAGGAAGGAGCCGGCAAAGGATGTCATGTTCTCAGTGACAGAATGGAATAATCATGGCCTTTCACAAGATAATTAGCTTAATGAATACAATTATCTTACGTTTTCTTAAACAAAGAAACGTAGTCCCCTTTGCCTTTACTAAATCTAATGTTTAATGACATCTGATTCAGCATAAATCACATGTGGACTTCTATTAAAAAAATGACAGATTCTAGGTACACAGTCACCTGAATATAATCTGGGGGTTAATTATAACTGTAGGTGTCACTGAGAAGCACAGAAAATAAACATCCCCTACTTTTCTCAGACCAGCATTCAGAATAATTTTTATGTCTATCAAACACAAAGGAACTTGTCTTACCTAAACAAGTCAGTGCCCCTTTATTTTGCAAACTGCAGCCAGATTGTGAGCATGCCACAGACGTTGGGGGGTTACTAATCATCTAGGCTACTACTGCAACCACAGTAGTAATAGGCAGCCATAGTCGTCCAAATATCTGGGATCCAAGTCCCCACCTTACTATGATGGTTACTTTCCTCTAGACAGTCTTACAAAGACTACCAGGTAATTAACCCAGTAAGTACTGGGTGGGACCATCTAAGGGTTTACTTGGCCACACCCACATTCTCAG